CACGATAATCGCAAAGTATATGGAAGGTGTGCGACCGTTTCTACTGTACGGTCGCACGTCTTCCGTTCAGCTCTCTCAGGAGTGGAGGCCAAAGGTCAGCTCTTTGCTTGAGTAACAATTAGGTGTACAAGGAGAAAGAAGATGAAAGCTGAACATATAAAGTATAGATTTAGTTTTATCCAGGCTCTTAAATCATAAAAAGCCGAAGTGTTTAAGGTTTAACCAGCATCTACGGTGATCATACCAATTACCCCTCAGGATCCCTCCAACTATATTAGTCCAATACATACTTAATTTAACTGTACCAAGCCCAAATGAAGGGGGCCATTTGAACCCCTGAAATGTGTTGGGTTTTTATGATTTATCCTCATTATTTGTCCTGGTGACTTATGCCATCAACTCAAAATGTGTCTCCTTAACAGAAGGTGAGGGAAAGCCTTCCAATGATGATACCTGTTCTGGGGATAACTGTGTTAGAGAGATTGTCCACTCACTTTGGAGCGATTTCTTCCTATTACCTGTGTTGTGTAATAGGAAGTGATAGCTTCCTAATAAAACAAAGACAGCAAAAAGAAAACTGACAGGGGTTTTAAACATTCTGTACTCTATGTAAAAATTATTTGGCTGGATATACACTTTAAATTGTGTTCTGAAAAGCTCTTGATACATTGATATGTTGATCCCTGGTACTAAAATATGTTAAATAACCTACTTGTCTCATGAAGTATATTTGATCAATATTTTGTACACCCTATAACCTGAAAACCATTTTTATGTTTCACTTTTTCAGAGTCTTTGGTAGTCCATCCAGCAATCTTTCTGTAAGTTACCAGAGTTTGGTCAGTTTAGTCCTGAAGTGACAGCTGTGTAAACTACATGGGCAACTGCTGGCAGTGGTCCTTGTTCTGTAAAAGGGCTGAAAACTCTAGCACTGTAATCTCTTGATAAAATGTGCTCATTATCATTATACTGTACATAAAGCAACAATAGGCTGAACTGCTACACTGACACGGCTTGCAATGCTGTTTTCAACTGAATGAAAAGTGTTGAATGCACACTAAAATAACTAGAATACAACTATTTATTTAGAAGGTAATTGCTGGATACATTTCCTCTAGTCATCATTCAGCTGACTTTGTCATATTTATCTCTAGATCATCAAGATGAAACATTTCATATGAGATTATGTGACTTTCTGAAATACATTTATAAAGCAGTAATGTCTTTAATATATTTACCTTAAAATATTTAACAGATTATAAAATTAGAAGAATGTAGTATTTAAAAGAAGAAAACGTGTAAGAATAAGGGTCCTTGTAATTCTTGTGAGGCAATTCTATCGTAACCTTACTTTTTAAAGATATAAAAGTAAAGGTCCTGCCTAGCAACACATTCTTCCAAATACCTGTTACTAGTTTCATTAGAGAGAAAAGCAATCTGTCTTGTTTCATGGGTCAGTTCCAACATCTGCCATCCTGCTGTCCAATGAATATGCTCTTGCTGGCTACTTAATGGAAAAAAAGAATGGCAGTTTGGTGGAGCTTAGCCTTGAAGTCAGAAAAAGTCAGGCCTCAGTAGCATGTTAAAACCAGCAGGTTGCCTTCAGAAAACTACAGGGGGACTGGAAACGAGACCAGTCACCCTGCACGAGGAGAGCAGCAGTGACTTGTAGGCATGGGCTCGATGTTCAAGTCGAACGTGTCAAGGTCTTACCTTGTCCTCATGGTGGCAGCCATTTTGGACATGTGCAGACTGCAGTCTCTTTTATATCCTCTGATTGCATCATTGAATGCCTGCTGCCTGGGCGTCGCACAGTGATGATGTGGCATCACCTGACTATATCAGTCTGCTCAGAATTCAGGTTCATTGCCCTTGCGTTTGTGCTCCAAGGTGCATCTCTGGCGATCTGAGTTTCTTTGTGTGTTCCTGTGTATGATCCGGTCCGGCTGACGTTTCCTCTGGCTCTCGACCCCGCATCGGCAGACGTACCCGCATTGGACTTGATTCCGGCTTGGACGACTACCCGCTTTGGACGTGACCCTGGCTTGGACGACTACACGCTTTGGACGTGATTCTGGCTCGGCAGATGTACCCGCATTGGACTTGACCGGCTTGTTCCTGACCTCGCTGCTCCCTAATGAATGTTTATTTATATTCCTTTAAATAAACAACTTTATTTTACCTGCGTTTCCGTGTGGTCTGGCTCCCGTGACAGAACGTGAGTTCAAATCGAACATTGGCAGTTTGTGTGCCCAGCAAACACACAAACTGTCAGGAAATTCGATGGGCTGTTCGCCCGCTGAGCGCCCTGCAAGGGACTGCATCTTGTGAAGCCCTGATTGGCTAAAGCCTTGCACCTGACCACAGGTACTCTGAAAGAGCCATGATTAAGCAAAGTCATGATGACTTTGCCCAATCATGGCTCACCTGTCAGATCCCGTACTACTGTAAAAAGTTGGGTGGAGCTAGCTTTCACCGCTAGCTCTGCAAAATTGTTTATATGTTTCTGGCATCTGTCAAAATGCCATTCTTCAGCTGGTGTTCATCGTGAGCGGACGGCGGTCGTCTTTGCTTTTTATTATTATTTCTATTTATTTTTTATTGTTTTATTTTTTATTTCGTCGAGTCGTTGTAGTCGTGGACAATGCTGGATGTCGTGATTGACCCTGGATTATGTCGGCGGATCCATTTTTTTTAGTTAACCCTTTAGTGAATAGGTAGGCGTACAAGTACCCCTTACTCATTCACAAGGGGGGAGGCCGCATCTGGGTGCCCCTTTATTAAAGGGGTACCCTCATGTGAATAAGCCCCCTGCCCGCACCACCACAACCAACGCCCCAGGGCTTGTGGGGAAAAGGCCCTTGTCCCCATCGGCACAGGGTCCAAGGGGCTTTTCCAGGGGCCAACATGGAAAATTACCTTTCAAGTGCCTCCCCCCGCCCCTTATTGCATATAAGCCTTCAAAATGGGTCAATTGATTTTCAAAGTTCTACCCCATAGACTTGCATTGAGTTTAACGTTTTTCATGTTCTAAGTACGAATTCGAACCGAACAGGGGGGTGTTCGGCCCATCACTAGTGACTGGTCTTTATCACAGGAAGCTCCTGCACAGAGGCAAAGTTTCACAAGGGATTACTGCACAGGTCTGGAAGAAATGCACAAAGCCCCCCAAGATTCAAGTAACAATACTCATGGCTCTTGTCTTTAGACAATATTTACTTGTCATGCAAGTCAGCTTTATGTTCTTGTTACCTCATACCTGTGGCATAGTATTAAAAACGGTACCCCTATTAGTGAACTGCTTGATGATAGTTTTGTAGATCATAATAGAATAGACATTGTAGCAGTATTATGTGTAGGGAAGAATAGTAATCCACCTAAAATACAAGGCTGTATGATTTACCCTCACTCTGAGATCAGTTGACCATGGGTGTCTACAATTACACATTATTCCTGATATGATCATATTGGTTAGATTGGACGATCATCAAATCCATAAGAGCACTTTTACTGTATTTGAAGCTCACTTTGCAGAGATGTCTGAGGGAATGTTTAAAGATATGTGAGAAAACTCACATATCTCTAATATTTTTATACAAATAGTTACAACTTGGTTCTCTCTTCTTTAAGTCCAAATAAAGTGATACCAAATATGAACAGAAATGTGAGTTCATTTATGCAGCTGCTATATACAATTTTTAATATATATCAAAATAAAAAGCTACTTGTTTATGTCTATGCAGAATTTGAGAGCCACACATCCCACTTATATCAGTAAATTACATTATTTTACCATGTCCTTCAAAAGTTAAAAGTCAGGACTTGTCATCTGTTTACCAGAAAGAGCAGATACAGACCACAAACATTTGTGATCCATTTCTCAGGGAGAAGTATTCTTCCACTGAAATCCCACTAAACATCCACTGCCACAATCGTGTGCATCAATAGGTGACACTGTTCAAGGAGTGTGCCTTCCTCATCAGAGCATTTCAGTATGTACTTTTTTTTAACAAAATTCTAATTGCACATTAGTATGGTAATGCAAATATACACTGCAACATTTTCTTTAATCAGGAGTTGTCTATTTTTAAGGGTTACAGGGTATCATGTTTTAGTCCAGGGTTAAGCATTAACAATAGGGTCAGTGTTTAGAAATAAGGAATAGATTACAGGTTATAGTGATTTTTTTAACCCCTTTTATTTTAAATTTGCCACATTACCTAAACTTGATGGCTAATATATGTTCATGCCACAAATGTATTACACAAAGATTCAGTTCTTATGACTGCCATGTTTATTATTAGACTATGGGTAGAACTAGCCATAAAACTGTTATTCGTCAATTTGAATACTTTAGTATTAAGATTTCTTCTCCAAGAACTAATAAGTTTAAAGCTATAAACAAACTGAGTGAAGTTTAAATCTAAATGCTGACTTCAGATAAGTAGTCCTATCAGTTGTGTTTTGTTTTGGTCCTTAAGGATAACTGTACATTTATACGACCCCCACTCCTCTGGGTTCTTTGCTGTGGGGCCCACTTGACACCACACAGTTTTTTGTCCAAAGGATGCCCGGCTGGGCTGTGCTTCTTTTCTCTAATTAGTATGGAAAGGTTGTTTATTTTTCATCTCAACTATGGATGGCCATTCCACAGGATGGCGATTGTGGTATGAATGTATGGAAGAAGAAGAAGCACCTAATGGGTCACACAGCATATATCTTAAAGGAACAGGAACAGAAAAGTGTAACCTTTGGGTTTGGGGTTGCTGGGAAGGGGAAGAAGGACATATAATGGAAACTTTACTAAATATGCAGTTATCCTTTAATCATTTTCCATACTAATACATATACATACCACTGTATTAACTAGAAAAATGTGTAGGTGTTTTGAGGATTGTGTTCCACCCTGTCCATGCTGTTTTTTTATCAGAATTTAATAATATACAGATCTAGTGCAGGGAGGAAGACTAGTTGTTTGAACAAATTTGTATTTATTTAATTTAAAAAAAATCAGTAATTTTCTTGAAGGAGCCAACCCTGGCATTCTGGGCACCCCAGTCAGTAAATCTTCTATATTCTCCTGGTCTTAGGTAGTATTGGCGCCCTTTGTAGTTGGAAAGCTCATAGAAAATCCAGTACCCATCAAACACATTGCAGGACTGGATGTCATGATGACTAAATCGATCAGATACCGAAGGACAGTCTTCCATGGCCTCCAACATTTTACCTCCAAAGTTATTTCTTTCATAGAGCCTCAGCCTGTAAGATTCTTTGTACTGTAATAGTAGAACACAAAATGAGAACAATTCAACTACAAATAAATACATTTTACATCTGAATGAACACATATGGGCTTATTTAATAAGGCAGTGCAAATAAGGATGTACAAAGTATAGTGACCATTGGCAAATAGGAAAATATAATCCAAGAATCCAATATAATCGAAGAAAATTGGATTGGTCAGTATGGTTTATTGTATATCTTGTTATCTTCATTAGTGATGGGCCGAACACACCTGAGTTCGGTCCTCAGTCGAACTTTCGAGCATGAAAAAAGTTCTAACTCGAACTTCAAACTCAATGTAAGTCTATGGGACCAAAACTCTGAAAATCAAATGTCCACATTTTGAAGTCTCATATGCAAGTTATTGGCCATAAAAAGGGTATGGGGAGTCTGGTACTGCCCTGGGGGACATGTATCAATGAAAAAAATACTTTTAAAAAATACAGTTTTTAAAGGAGCAGTGATTTTAACATTGCTTAAAGTGAAACAATAAAAATGAAAAATTAATTTAAAGATCATGCCTGGGGGGTCCCCTTAAACTGACTGTAAAGTGGCACATCTGTAAGAACCTGCTGCAGCAAATGACATTTATAAAGAAAATAATGACATTTAAATTGCTGATATTTGGTTTTCCCTTAATCTTGTTATTCTTCTCCCAACCCTTCAGTTATTATTGACGAGTGCAGGATTGGGCCCTGCTCTAAAAATTCAATATATTGACCCGTCACACACCTGTCTCCTTGTTGGCCTTTCAGAGATGATGTGGGGCTTATTATAACATTTTATTAGAGAATGTGGGATGGGAAATTGGTGCTTGGGTGCAATACTTTATCGAATGTGGTGCTTGGTGCACTATAAACTGTTGTACAATGGCCTGCGACCTAACTTTACTCAATCAGGGTTCTGCAATGCACACAGGGCATTGCGGGGCACTCGGCGGACGAACAGCCTGCTAAACGCCCTGACAGTTCGTGTGTTTGCCGAACAAACAAATTGCTGATTTTTGAGTCAAACTCACGTTCGACTCGAACATCGAACCCGTGCCTAATCTTCATATCTTTCTGCATTCCTTTACTGATTATCCTTGTAAATGTATGTAACTGTTTACAGTTATATCTGACTTAGCACTATCTTTACTATACTAAGCAATAATTGACAGTAAAAAAAAGCAATATGTCTACGAAATCCTCTCCTGATCAGTGCAGTATGGATCGGATGTTACCGCTGTGACATCCATGTCCATACCTCCATCTTGCGATGGAGGAAAAAAACGAAACTGCCAGACCCCATTTGTGAATATGGGAAACCTGATCTAAACGGACGTGTGTTCATTTACATCAGATTACCCCCTATTCGGCACAATCCGGTCCATCTAAACGGATCACTGTTCCAACCGGAGCCGGGGGTAAGCGGGTGTAAACGATGCTCGACTGTTTACAACCCATGTGTGATGCCATGGAGATATCAGGTTAAGCACTTGTTATCAGTATAGAAGATGACTAAAACCCTGTCTGCTTTTATTGCTATTTGCATACCTATTGTGGATTTTCCCTCACTTCCTATCAGTCGATAATGGTGTCACCAGAACAGGAGCCGGATGTGGGTGAAAATCTCCCTAACAAGGGCTCAGGCAGCAATAAAACCTGCCAGATGGTTTATCCCTTCCCCAATCATTCTGAAACCAAAAAGATCTTTTTAGATGGCGTTTCACTTTAAGTATCTAAATACAGCAAATCAGTCATGTTCAACAAGATACACTGTACAATATACTATAAACTCTTATAAGTAAAGATGAGACTTACTGGTGGAATTGCAAAGCAGGATTTAATGGAATCATTGAAACCCAACCAATGAGAGAAATGTGGATACTCTCCTCGCTTTATAAAGTACTGATAGCCCTTGTAGTTGGTCTGTTCATAAATCATACAACTTCCCTGCACAACTCGAATAGAGTTGCATCGATTCAAGTAAGAGCTCAAGTTAGGACAGTCACCAGTACACTCATAATATTGGCCTTGGAAGTTCTTGGCTTCATAGAAGAATATCTGCATCTGTCATTGAGAACACAGGAAAATATGATCCTTACTGAATGTTTGGCAGGATCAACAGGTATTTTTTGTACTTATCAAACATATATAACAAAACACTTTCAATGGTATATTTAACAGACCAGAATAGAGCAAAAAGGAGACTTTGTTGTTAAGGTTACAGTGCAGTATATGATTATTATATAAAAAAAACAAAAAAATGCACTGCACTCAAAGTTTGTATGATAAAAACTAGGGATGCACCGATATATTGGCCGCCGAAACATATCGGTTGAAAATGGCACTTTTGTCTGAATGCCGAAAGTGCAATTTTTCTGCCGATACAGCGGCATGTTCCTGGTTTCTTTCCTCCCCACTGGACGCTGCTCTGTGTTCCAGCAGGGAGGAGAGAAACTGTGACAGCCGCCGAGCTCTGCGGGAGGAGAGCGCTGTGAGCGGCCGGCGTCTCTCCTCCCACACCGCTCAGCCTCCTATCACAGTCCGGCAGAGCAGTTTGTGGGCAGAGACAGCCCGCGCTGTCACAGGAGGCTGAGCTCTCCTGAAAAAAATACTAATGCAGCCACCACTTCTAAGCACTGTTAAGCTGACCTACTATTATACACAAATGTGTCGAGGACAACCAGAAACATGACATGCGGGTGGCTGAGCGCTGGAAGTCTTGTCATTCTAGGCAATTGCCAAAGCTGCATTAGAAACAATGTTAAAATGTATGCAACTGGCTTGGAGTCTTAACACTAAGTCAAAAATTATTTGGTAAAATTGTCACATTTAAGGGCAGGTGCACACCTGGGCGATCCATGACCGCACGGCAATTGTGCATGATACCGCACGGATTGCCACACGGTCACAGAGTCGCCCATCACCAACGATCGTGCTGTGTGTGCCATTATTTTGTAATGGCACCCCAGTCACGCTGGGGGGATCACACGGTTTCTCGCCGCGATTCTGCCCGTGCATCCGAACACAATCGCGGCTAAAGCAGCTGCGCATCGTGTATTGCCAAAAAAAGGTACATGTACCATTTTTCTGCGATTCCCGCGCAGATGTACCCCATCAAATCAATGGGGCCGCGCTGCAATCCCTGTCTGCAATTGTGCACGACCGCGTGAACCCGGGACGCATGTCTCAGTCGCTTAGGTCTGCACCGGCCCTAATAGAGTGTGTGAATGGTTACATGGTTAACTATACCCATATATTAAAGCAGACCTCTACCCGCTTTCGCTAAAAAACACATCAGCATGCAGCTCTGCCTGGTAATTTGAAATCCTCTTACATTCATTAGTTAAACACATATTTTTTGCTTTCACTTACAATCACTGTACTGAAAGGGTTAGGTACTCGTTTGTGTCTAGGGAGGAAAACATAAAAGTTATACTCCCTGATCCTCTGAACCAGCTTGCTCTAAGACTGGTCCCTTGAGCTTCTCTCCCCCTCTGCTGCAGTGGTATAAGATCCTATAAAGCAAAATGTTCTATACACCACAGTATAGAGGATGTGAGGACATTGATGGACATTTTATTGCTGCAGTGTAAAAGGAGATAGGCTGGAGGAAGCGCTGTCACAGCCAGCCGGCTTCAAGGATCAGGTGGGTATAACTTTATTATTTTCATCTCTAGACCAAAACGAGCACTTAAACCTTGCAGTGCAGGTGTAGCACCACTGCAAGGGTTAATAATCATTTTCCCTTGAATTCTGCTTTAAGATTAGGGTGAAGTTCCACAGATTCACTTACACATAGTAATTATTCACAGAGCTACACTAAACTATGCTTAAATTATCTTTGATTAGAGCATAAATATTAACTGTAATAATAAAGCAAAAACTATGCATACCGTTACCTTGCTGTGCTTCGACCTGGGGCAGTACACAAAATGTAAAAGCAGGGAGCTGTCACCATTGAAGAACATCACAGGGCAGTGAGTTCTCTATATATACATTGCACAGGCTATACAATGGAAACTAGTTAACACAGTGATAGGAACTGATAGTTCTGCTTTGTGTTTGCTAATGTATATACATCTACAATATATACATCTACAATCTACAATACGACTGACATTGAATAAGCTGCTTTAGTGGTTTCTGATAGCTATATACATATGTTTTCTATGCAGTTATACGATACAGGTTATATAAAAAAAATCTGACAATAGGAACAAATAGAAATAGCTAGTAGTGACCACATAACCTGGGTTTTCCATGTATGATTTTAAAGGTCACATGCTTTTGTTTGTGTTAAACAATGAACTGGTCGTGTGATCTCCATAACAATACAAACCTGTACATGTTTCACCTCCAGTGATCTCTTAACCTGGTCAGGGTAGTGCTAGGTAAGCAATCGCTGTTTTTTTTTACAGAACTGCATTTTAGATGCTCGAAATAACATAAATGTATAAAGAGAAATGGCTGAGATATGCGCTGTGGCTTTTTTGCCCAAGCTGAAGATAAAGCTGTTTATGACAGCTCACCCGTAAATTTTGGTGCTACATGTAATGTATGAGAATGCTTATAACCTCTATATTTGTTCCAGAGTATTCTTCTTTCATGTTTTTAATTCTGTTTTCACCGTCTATTTTGTTTGACATTCATCACCTACACAAAAGATAAAGGAACATTTCCCTCATGGAAACACAGACAGCAATGAAGTCCTGATAGAAGTTCTAATTCTCCCCCACTCTAATAGAAAATATGTTATAGCTATCATTGGTCATACCGGGGACAATTCCTTTCTCTTCTTTTCATTCACTTCTTTATGTCAGAGTTGCCCCCCGGTGATCTGATGACTGGTGGGGTTATGATCAAAAAGCAGCAAGAAAGGTGCAGAAAGCACATTTTAATAGAATGGGTAAAGCAGGGAGAGTGAGATTGTTGCACTGTAGGTAGAAGGCATGTGCGGCATAAAAAAATGTGTTTTGTTTCTGTTCGTTAAAGGAGAACTATGGGTTTAGGGCTTTTCCCCATAGTTCTCCTTAGGGTAATGGGAGGACACAAACTAGCGTCCTCCCGTCACCCTAGGCTCAGTATACCGCGAGCTACAGCTAGCGGTATACTGAGACGCTGCAGCTGAAGCGGATCCCGACAATTATGTCTATCTAGAGGCAGGGCCAGCTGTACCCGCCCCCTCCCTTGTCCGTTCCGCCAGTCAGCGCTGGAAGATCGGAGCGGGGAGGGGGGAATCCAGCCACTCCCCTGTCACGGCAGAGCGCCGTGACAGGATCGAGAAGTGATCGAACGCCGGTATGTGTTCGCTCACCACCTGATCTACTGAGCCGACCTGTGACAGTTTCACTGTCACAGGTCGGTCAGAACTATGAGGCTGAGTGCAAAGCACTCACCTCATAGTTCTCCTTTAAGCAAATAGTTTTGTTTAGTCATATTCGTTACGTTAGAATAATTTATTTTCGGAATGATTATTATTAATATTATTATTAATATTTTGACAAAAGTAGTTATTGGTTATTCCAAATTAATTCATAATTTCAGATGGTCGGTTGTTCATTATCGTGTACAATTCGTTATTTCAGAAGACTGGCTATTATTAGGTAGTAGACAAGTTGTCTGAAATTCAATTTGGTTCGGGTTTGGATTCGGATGATATGAAGATTCGGAATGGTACTATTTTTTCAAACACGATCAACATCCGAATTAAACTAATGACCCCAAAATTTTTGTTATCATTTTTTTGGGATTAGATGAAATCCGTTACTATTGTTGTTTGGATGTTTGGATATTTTTGAATCTCCGAATAACATGAATTCGTCTGAATTCTGAATCGTAACTAAACGAATCGCACATGTCTAGTACAGTAGATACAGCTTCCTCTCCAACTAGAACAATAGCGATTAGATAATGGTGACATCACCAAGTTGTACTCCAAATCTTGTGAAATTAGCAGTTGGGTCATCAGTGCCTTAGGTGATCTCTCACTACAGATATACAGCTAAGAGCCTTCAAACAAAGGAAAGCCAAGTCACAGTCACGTGTTCGGAAGAGCACTGCTATTTTCAGGAAAATATTCAAGGCAAAAATTTTTTTTTTTAGGATACTGATTAAGTAAATAAACATTTCTAGATGTTCCCTTTAAAGAAGAACTCTGGGCAAACATTTTATTAACTCTTGCAGTGAGGCTACCTTAGTACCGCAAAGGGTTAACTGCTTGTTTTTGACTAGGTGCTAAAAAAAAAAGCTACACTCACCTGAACCTCGGAGATGGCTTTTCTTAGACCAGTCCTTTCAGCCTCTCTCCCCCTCCTCTGCAGCAGTCTAAGGTCCTGTAAATCATCACATTCTAAACACTGTGTATAGATGTGAAGACGCTGAGGAACATTCCAATGCTACAAAGCAGGAAGAGACAGGCCCCAGAGACCGGAGAAGCAGGAAGTCGACTCAGTGGTTAAGGTGAGTATAACTTTTTTCTTTAGCACCTAGTCAAACACGAGTAGTTAACCCTTGCAGTCTAGGGGTAGCCCCACTGCAAGGGTTAATACAAGTTTTGTCCTAAGTTCTTCTTTACCAGAGCAAATCTTCATTGTATGTCTTCAGGTGCATATCAATAAACACAGGTGAAAAGAAATGCTTAAGATAATGTTTAACCCTTTCGCTGCCTACGCCTTTTTTGCTTTTTTTGCACACGTTATAATTCACATTTAAGGCCTGAAAATTACCTAAAACCTCCCAAACATTATATATTTTCTGAAAGCAAAGACCCCAAGGAATAAAATGGCCACAGTTGCAAATTTCTATGTTGCACGATATTAGTGCAACTCTTTATCAAACCAAATAACTTTTTTAAAATGCACATAAGTTCATTTTAGTTGATTAATGATACACTGCGCTATTAATCCAATCTAAAAATGCAAATGAATAATCCTAAATGAAGTGTGCTAATAATAAACATAAAAAATAGAAAAAATCACTCTAGAACATAAAAAACGGTGTAGCTAAGTAGTGTCAAAAACAAAACAAAACTAATACACCATAATAATATAAAAAAATCTCATAAA